AGTAGGAACCTTTATGGGAGGACTGAAGCCCGAAATATCAAAGGGCATCAGAATGTTCAAGCCAAAATCATTGAAGGAAGCCATTAGTTTTGCACTTATGTGAGATGACTTTCTTCTTCTCCAACACCGGTTCATGCGACCACTGCAAATCAAGCGAAGACAACTGGAACTTCCTGTTCTAGTGAGATCAACTCCAGCATCCCCTGTGAAGCGCCTGACAAGAGAGAAAATGCAGAAAAGACGAGCTTAAGGTCTGTGCTTTAATTGCAATGACAAATTCACATTGGGCCACAAGTGCAGATGGCCGCAACTCTTGTTGCTGGAAGGAAGCACTAACGTGAGCAACATTAAGTGTGAAGAAGTTACTGATGAAGTAGCAGAGGAGCCTACAACCGATCTCCAGCCCAAACTCGAAATATCATTGCATGCTTTGACAGGATGGTCAACATCTAGAACTATGTGGGTCATGGCTAGAATCGGGCATCACGAAGTGGTTGTGCTCATTGACAGCGGTTCCACTCATAATTTTGTTAGTGAGAAGGTGGCCAGTTTGCTTCACTTACCAATTGTTCCCATCGAACCATCCACTGTACGGGTTGCTAATGGGAATCGATTGCAATGTCAGTGGAGGTTTGAGCACGTAGTCCATCAGTAGGATATTCATTTTTTTAAACCTTTATTCTTTACCACTAACTGGTTTGGACTTGGTGTTGGGCATACAGTGGCTGGAACAATTGGGTTCGGTTGTCTGTAATTGGAAAAAAAATGACAATGGAGTTCCAGTGGGAAAATCAAACACAAAGACTAAAGGGAACAGATTCGTAACCCATTCAGTCTACATCCTTGAAGGTGGTCTCTTAGGAATTGAGACAAGGAAGTTTGATGTTTGCATTTTGTCTGCAGTAATTGGAAGAAATACCACGGCAAGACACTCAACCAGGCATGCAACAAGTGTTGGAGGCTTATGCTGACATTTTCCAAGAACCTACGCAATTACCCCGAAGAGGGAGGTTGACCACTACATTCCTCTTAAAGAAGGCACGGAGCCGGTCAACGTGCGGCTCTACATGTATGCCTATTTTCAAAAAGCTGAAATTGTAAAACAAGTTCAAAACATGTTAAAATTAGGGCTTATAAGACCATGTACCGATCCTTTTTTATCCCCGGTCCTTTTAGTTAAAACAAAAAAAAAGATGGTACATGACGTTTTTGCACTTATTACTGGGCCCTTAATATCGTTACTTTCAAAGATTGGTTTCCCATCCTAACAGTCGATGACATGTTAGATGAGCTCCACGGGATAAATCTAAGGGCCGGCTACCATCAGATATGTGTACACCCATCAGATATTCCTAAAATTACTTTTCACACTCACAATGGTCATTACGAGTATTTAGTTATCATCTTTGGTCTTTGCAATGCACCCTCTACTTTTTAAGGCTATCATGAATTCTATATTTTGACCTTATCTTCGCAAATTTATACTAGTTTTTTTTTTGTCATTTTGATTTATAGCCCCAATTGGACCATGCCTCTTCAACATGTTCAACGAGTTTTTGAAATTTTAAGGCATCACCAATTTTTTATTAAAGTCAACAAATATGCCTTTGGTCAACAAGAATTGGAATATTTGGGTTATATTGTTACTCCTCAAGGTGTAAAAGTGTATCAAGGCAAAATTCAGGCAATGTTAAATTGGCCTAGACTCACTAATATTTTGGAATTGCGTGGTTTCTTAGGCCTTACAGCCTATTACATGAAATTTGTCCTCAATTATGAGGTTCTAGCTCGACCACTCACCAATCTTTTAAAAAATGGACAGTTTGGGTGGATAGATAAAGTTGAGATAACATTTCATACACTTAAACAAGCTATAACTTCTACTCCTATTTTGACTCAGTTTAACTTTAATGAGTCCTTTGTTATTGAATCTGATGCTTCAAGGGATGGAATTGGTGTGGTCCTAACACAAGAAGGTAAGCCGATTGCCTTCATAAGTAGGGCCTTGGGCATTTCGAAACTGTCATGGTCTATATACGCTAAGGAGATTTTAGCCATTATTGAAGCCATACGAACTTAGTGACCATATTTGCTGGGACAGAAATTCTAATTTTAGATAGACCAACGCAGCCTCAAGTTTCTACTAGAGCAACGCATGGTCACGCCAGAGCAACAAAAGTGGGTGGCAAAGCTGCTCAGTTATGACTATGAAATACTCTATAAACTGGGCCGAGAAAATTTTACAGCAGATGCACTCTCAAGAGTGACGGGAAACCTAATTCTTATTGCTTTGTCTTTTTCGCAGACCCATTTGTGGGATGAAATTAAAATCGCAGCTATGGGTGACTCATATATGGAAAAGATTGGCAAGTTGGCCACTGAAAAATCAGGAGATCCTTACACGTGGTGCAATGGGTTGGTCCTATATAAAAATCGGGTAGTGGTGCCTCCCATTTCTTCCATCATTAACCAGCTTTTGTGAGAATTCCATGACTCACAGCAAGGTGGCCATTCGGGTGTGTTGCGGACGTTCAAACGGCTTGCCCAATAGTTTTATTGGCCATCAATGTATCGCTTGGTGCACGGTTATGTCTCCTCCTGAGATGTTTGCCAACGGGCTATAGCAGAAACATTGTCTTTCTCCAGCAGGCCTCCTCCAGCCACTACCCATTCGTTGACAAGTGTGGGAGGATATTACCATGGATTTTATCAAAGGGCTGCCCTCATCCAACGGTAAGGATACCATTTTTGTTGTTGTTGATCGCCTTAGTAAGTCTGCACACTTTTTGAATTTGGCTTATCCATTTACCACAAAAATGGTACCTGAAAAATTCGTGGAAGGCGTGGTTAAACTCCACGGTATGCCTTGGTCCGTTGTCAGTGACTGTGACCCTATTTTTACTAGCAACTTCTGGCATGAATTCTTCAAGTTGTCAGGAGCACAGCTGAAGATGAGCTCCGCCTACCACCCACAAACGAACGGACATTTGGAAGTCGTCAATAGATGCTTGGAACAGTACCTTCATTGCCTGGTCCACCAATTGCCAGGTAAATGGAGTTCTCTGTTTCCATGGACCGAATTTTGGTATAATACAACTTATCATGCAACCACAGGAATGACCCCCTTCCAAGCATTGTATGGTTGACTACCTCCACCTATTCCTCACTACTGGGTGCGTCAATCTCCGGTCAGCAAAGTAGATCAAGACCTAGCTTCGCAATAGAATGAAACAGGTGGCGGATTCCAAGAGGCGAGACATTGAATTCCAAGGGGACTTAGTTTTTCTAAAGCTCCATCCTTACCAGCAACAAATAGTTTCTAAAAGAGCATTTCAAAAATTGGCTAGCCGACTTTATGGGCCCTCTCTGATAGAAAAATGTATAGGCAATATGGCGTACCAGCTCAAACTTCTTGAGGGGTCCTGAATCCATCTCGTGTTTCATGTCTCCTTGCTTAAGAAAAATTTGGGAGAGGCAGGTGCGACTAGCACCACCTTGCCACCTATGGCGGATGACAGAGAAATTATCATAGTAACAGAGGCTATCTTAGACAACCGTTGGGTGAAGAGGGGATCAAAATTTAATGTGGAGAGTCTGCGTAAGTGGCAAAGACTTCCTGCTGAGGATGCCACATGGGAAAAATACTGAGGAATTGCCGGACAAGTTTCAGGCCAAGGATCTAGTGAAAGAGGGGGTTATTGTTAGGTGATCCCAATGTGCACCTGAGAAAAACCGAAAGTATGTGAGATGACAGGGGCATGCATGGAAGATTGGGGACTAAGTCCAGGATTTGTTGCGGATCTATGAGAAGACCTAGTCCATTTGTTTGCAGAGTCATTGTGCAAATTACTAGGAGTTTGTTAGCTATTATCCTGCAGCTATTATTTTGCAGTTTGTTGAGTCTTTGTTTTAGGAATTAATGGTCATAAGTTTAGGAAAGGTTGTTAAGCCAATGTCTATTTCAATTGGTTTGTTGAGTCTTTGTTTTAGGAATTAATGGTCAAAAGTTTAGGAAAGGTTGTTAAGCCAATGTCTATTTAAATTCAGCTGAGAGTATCAATAACGGCAAGCAAATTCTTATCCAACAACTTGCGGTACATTCTCACCTGAAGAGAATACTCTTTATTATGCAATTGTAGTTTAGCTTTGGTTGGGACCTAATACGCCTTGCATCAATAGGTGAAGGATCCATCAAACAACCCCTTGCATGCCCTCATTTTTTCCGTTTCAATAACCTAAGAGGGTATTTGTGTGTGAGTGTGGAGAAATAATTCAGCACTTTTTCTTGCTAGATTTGTGACCAAAAATTAGAAGCGTAACATGAGGATTGAAGAAGCCAAAAATAATTGACTAAAAATATCAGATTCTTCATATTTTTATCTATCTAATCGGTAGAGGTGAAAAGCCATGGATCGATTTCGATCCACTAACACGTGTATTTGAGTGTTTTCATGGGTGTGATGGGGTATTTGTGTGTATGGATTAAGGGAGAGGTGTACACAGAGAGAGGGGTTCAAGAAAAAGGAGGATGATAGATGGTGGAGTAGGACTGTATAAGCAGAAGTCTTTACATGGGAGAGATAAACAATAGATGTGCAGATGTTTATTGGTTGTTCGTAAATAAATTAATCTCATGAATTTAATCCAAATAGTATTATTGAAGTTAAAGAATTTTTTACCAAATAAAGTATGATGATTCAAAACCATGAACATTTTTAATTACTCGGCACATATGCATTTGTGCCGAGTAATATAGGAGTATATTATTTCTCTTGCACATCACAAGAGATAAGTCTCTAGGATTTAGATCCAAGGTACATGGATATGCAATACTCGTGAAATCAAAAAATAAAAGCATTTTGCTTAGCAATTAGCATTAGGAACAAAGACTATGAATGGCGTTGATCCCATTGCTACCCAATGTGTGAATATTTTAACTACTGATCAATGGACAAAGTATTTAATTTTTTTGGGTAAGTAAATAAATTGTATGCTCAAAAAATAAAGATTTTATACAATAACAAGCAGAACATTCTCCTAAGAGTACACAAAACAATACCCATAGACTAGGCATGCCTACAATAAACAGCAAAACAAAACACAAACAGATGAAAGAAAACATATAGTATGTTGATGCCACTATAGATATCAGTAATTGTTAGGTTCAACCTGGAGAGAGAGACACACACAGAGAGATCATAGTACTGTTTAATACAATCACAGTCTACAATACATGATCTCAATTTATGCTATCATTAGTGTATATAGTACTAGACAAAATTTTACACCAAGTATGGATCAGCAGCGAGCTCTACAATCGATCTGAGCTCATCCCAGTCCCCATGCCTTGAAAATTCGCCCTGGTTATAAAAGCTCGAGTACGACACAGTACTTGATGGAACTTGAGATATCGAGCTCAACTCTCCTACAAGCAATTGATTAGTAACATCAAACTGATGATTAACAATGGGTTTCCTCTCACTCTGTCGTACTACCGGGGCACTGAAACTAATGTAACCTTGCCGTCCGTCAGATTCTACACTGGATGTTTTGGAGCTTGCATCAACTGGATTACTTTTAGTCGATAACTCTCTCCAATCTGGTGGGCACTTTCTATATGTCACATTTCTCTTGAAAATTCGACACAGTGTCCAGACTTCCTGCAAAACCCAAAAAGAAAGCATATGTTACACTTGGTAGTTGGTAATCTAATCGAATTTCTGGAAATTTTGTTATCGTTCTAATCAATTTGCTGCGAGAATTTTTCCGGCCAGAATTGAATAAAGTTAAAATGGAAACAGTTTCTTACAGCTTCTTGAGTCATGGTCTTAGGATCAAGGTGTTTGATGGTTTTGTCATTTTCAGCCGGAAGGCGAAACTCATGCATCATCCAATCAGTCTTGGTGCCTTTTCCGGCACTTCCACGGTAGTACACCAATGACTTCTTGAGTCCAATACAGTGCAGGCCTTCTCCGCCAGCGGAGTATATGGGTCGATCAATACCAGTTGCTTTCCAGAATCCAGAGCCTGTGACTCTATTGGGTCTTATGCTATTCCTATACTTTCTCCCTCTTTTGCAAAAGAAATACCACTCTTTGTCTCCCACGTTGCTAGCTTCTGGATACACAGATGTTCGCATCTTTAGGACAAAAAATGTTTTTGTTCCCTGAATATATTGTTAGGCTTTGAATACATCTATGAATCAGAATTACATAAATATTTCTTCCATTCTTTTGCAAGATGATCGGATCATAGTTTAAGCGCTACTAATAAACCAAAAAGAAAAAAAAAATTCCAATTGCAGTTGAAACCGGAAAGAATCAGTAAATACTGCGTTGTAATATTTTTCTGTATACAAAAATTTATTTTCTACCATATAATTCAATATCATTTCATGAAACATTAGATGCATCCTATGCAAGTGATTCCCATCAGTCGTTCAACAGTAGGGCTTATACTATTTAATATTATACCATTAAAGCAAATGGTGATCCTGATTAAGTTTTCATTTGCCTCTAAAGGTGCCTAAAAAGCGTTAATCTAGCTAATTACACTAAGGTTTCATTGTTATGAACATGCACGCAAGAGTTGAATAATTTGATACCTAATTGTGCTTATACACAAAATACCTTGTTGTTGAATAAAAACCTAACTTTTCAGTCACACAAAACAGTCTAAACAGATATTTGGAAGAAAACAAACAACTCAGTGATAAAGCTCAAAAGTGATCACATACTTGGAAGATCCCATGGGTCGTACTTGTAGATATCAATCTGTTTGATCAGTTCGATACTGATTGGTCTCTTCTCAACCTTCCGGCGAAGATAAAATCCTACAAGTTCTTCATCAGTAGGATGAAACCGAAACCCTGGAAGTGGAACATCATCCTCATCATCATCTTTACTATTAACTATGCTACTTTTCTTCTCTATTTCCATGCTTCTTTCGACCTTCTGTTTCCCTCTCTTTCTCTTCGTGTGGATGCCGTGAAGAAATAGTTTGGATACTTTGAACTTGGAAGAACCTTCTTGTTATATACACACACATTAAATATTTATTTACAGATATTTATAATGTCATGATGTGAAGGGGTTTGAGAGAAAGTGGCTTTTTTTGTCAAGCCAGGAGTCTTGACTAGGGCTGGGGTTATTAAAGGTCTAGAGACCTAAGGACTTGAAGCAGTCTTTGGTCTTCCATTTCATCACCACGAGCTTACCATTAAAGACTTTTCTATTTCATTATTTTATCTGGTTAATTGCCTATGTAAGTTACCATTATATATGGACTGGAAAACAAATAAAAAAAAAGGAAAAAAAACCAAGAAGAAGAACGAGTAGAGATGAAAAGAATTGTTTTACTAAAGTACCCTTGCCAGCTGAATATGGAGAAGATTATACTTTTTTTTTTTTGATAAATGGAGAAGATTATACTTACATCTTTTATATATGAAGGATATATCTTACAATTTTTGACATCATACTGCAAGTTCTTCTAGTTTGGTTTTGTATTTTAGGGGCACTATTAGTTAGTCAACAAATGGTTAGCTACTAGAATCTGCTAACGTCATTAAGTTTTTCTTTATAAAAATACAAAATGAACCAAAATTAGGAATGCCCAACAGTTGACTACCACTAGCCCAGCCCCTCCCCTCCCCTCCCCTGACAAAAACCCCATTCCTCCTACAGCATTGCAGCCCTCTCCTCTTCCACAAACCCATCCTTCATCATAACATGCTCCTCATCACACCTTTGTTGCTAGCTACCACCTCCATTATAACTCTACCACCCAAAATTCTTGCACTACACAGTGTGCTACGTAAATTTTAGAAATTTGGATCTTTTCTACTCTTTTCACCTCTATGCATGCGAAAGTCTCAAGGTCTCATTTAACTCAATAATTAGGCACTAGTATAGCATCTAAATTCAAGTTCTTTTAGCAATTTAGTCGATGTGTGGATTGATTTTTTCATAAAATAATACAAGTACTCTTTGTTTTATTAAAATCTATATAATAAAGTAAATTACAATTTAAATCTCAATAGACAAACAAAATGACTTTTATTATTTGCGGTTGATATCGCTTTAAAGTTAATTTTACGGCTAATATTAACATCCTATATTTAATAGAAAAAATAGGTCCCTAAGTGTGTATTTTGAATAAATTTTTAAAAAAAAATTAAAAATTATTTCTTATAAATATTTAAAAAAAAATAGTGTTTGAAACCGCCGCATTACTATCTCTGCCATCGCCACCGCCACCGCGACAATCGTCGCCGCCGCCTTCGTTGCCACCACTGCTACCGTCACCACCACTGCCGCCACGCCCCACCACCGCCACCCCCACCATCGTCACCTCCACCGCCATTACCATCGCCACCACCGCCATCACCATCTCCACCACCGCCGCCATCACCATCGTCGCTGTCACCACCACTGCCGCCATCACCACCACCATCACCATTGTCGCCACGCCCACCGCCATCACCGCCACTGCCCCCAGCCATCATCGCCACCACCACAGCCACCACCACTGTTGCCGCTGCCATTACCTCCCCCACCACCGCCTCCACCACTGCCACACCCATCGCCACCATCACTGTCGCTGCCGCTGTCGCCATCGCCACCGCCACCATCGTTATCGCCACCACCATCTTTGCCACCACCACGATTATTGTCACTCACCACAACCATCACCGTCTCCTACCACCACCTCTCACTCCCACTACAAATCGATGCTTAAATTCTTTTATCTCTTCTCTATATTTGTGATTTAATTTTGGATATGAATACAAATATGTTTATTGTTTATCATTTTTTATTATTCTGTGTCTTCAGACACAATCAATAAGTAGTAGTCTAATAAATTGCATACAAGGTGTTAGTGATGACTTTTGATTGAGGGGACTAAATGGGTAAAACGTATCCTTTTGATCTTTAGTCGACACTTTGATGTTTAGTCTGCTGGGGGAGGAGGTCATGAGATTATGGTCTCTGAGATTTAAGTTTAGAAATGAAGTGAGTTGGTTGATAGTCTTAATCTTAATTTTTTCTTACAAAACATTACAAGACAGTGAGAAGGGACGCATTATCAATGCATTTTGTTCAGATATTCTCGTAAAACTTGGTGGTATCTATCTAGTTTTACATGTTGAATTGAAACATCAAATCGAAGGGTTTGTTAATTAGGGTTTAATAGATCCAGTCAAAGCCCCTAAAAGTCTAGTGTCTTATATCCCACACAAACACATTTGGCTTTTTGAGGGTATGGTTTGAATAAAGTGTCCCTCCTGGATCGATCGAGTTCTATTTTACAATGACAGCATGACCATATCAAAGGTGGAAGGAAGCCTTCCAGAAGGCGCACCCCATCTGACCAAAAACTCCAGAAAGCAATTACTAGGCCCACGACTGACTTTATTTTATACACAAAGCAATAATGATTAATGACTCGATGGAAAGCCACCAATTACACAATCTGACAATATTGATTCCAGGGACGACATGTTTGACTTCATTAGGCGGTGGTCCCGAATTTTGATTGTTGACCACAGGATGAACAACATGTGGTGGTGGATTCGGGGGACCAGGGGAGGGAGGTAGGGTATCCCCCACAACCTCTTGACAATCCGTATTCACCACAGCTGCTTCTTTTTCATGCATTGTACCTTGTTTCTTCACCACAGTAGCGATAGACAAGTGTAGGAAAGTGAATTGTTTGAAAATATGTATCAAGAATAAAGATTTATCATACTTAATAGAAAAATAGTTTTACGTAGTCATCCTTGAAAAGAATTAGGGGATTTAAAAATGCAATCAAACAAAATCCCACGTTGGGTACGGTAGAGATATAAGTTTTGGAGAGAGAGAGAGGACTTCTTGCAACTGCTTACTTCAATTTGAATAGTCAATATGACACAATCAACGTTGTCTTGGTTGTTTATGATTTTGTTGGATCAAAGTTAAAATGTTATGCGACTTGGTTGGAAGTTAAACATACACGAAATACAGAAAATGGGATGTGATTGCTTCTAGAATTAAAAGAAGTTAGAAGCATAAATACACAGAAATAAAATGGACCAAGTGATGCAGTTGCGAACAGCTTTATAATAGATCTAGTCATTGGCCAATACTCCCAATGAATTTATAGGTTTTGCTGTTTAGGAGCTATATTCAAACCATTTTATCCACTTTTTTCCTAAAAGAAATACTTTTCTCAATATATGTGAGAGACATGGTCTTAATAAAACAAACAGTCTAATTTTCTCCCAGCCCATGTAGTCGTCTACTGTTTAATTTGAAAGATAAATCCTTAAAATGACCTCACTGCCTGATTAATGCATGTTTGATAATTTTAGGTCTCCTTTGTGAAGTTACCATCATTTACGGAAGAGTAACCCAATTTACTAATACCATTTATTGAAACATCCAAATGAGTTCTTCAAGAAAATTTTCATAACAAATTTTTAAATTTAAATAATATTACTTTTATAACAAGTTAACTTTGTCAATGAGAATGAGTTATTCCACGTCGAATAACCTTGGAATTGTGTGTGTATAAAGTTCTCTGTCACTTAAACTTTTAGGTATAAGTTTCAAAATGATTCTATCTATAAAAATAAAAATAAAAATTGATGTGTATGTCTGTGTGCCACGTACACTTTTAAATGTAAGTTTCTGTTTTACAAAAAAAAAAAAAACTTTGTTGACGAGAACAAAAGATCTGTGATTTTGAAGAGGTTGTCTTGTCTTATTCTAGAAAATGGCGGTAGGGGACGCAGGCCATCACTTGTCAAGACGTGGGTACCTGCAAGAAAGTAAATAATCCAGAGAAGACCTGAAAAGCCTAAAGCAAGACGAGAGAAAATGTCAAAGTTTTTAGTCAAGAAAGAAGAATAGGCCATTATCAACTGACTTGGAGTATTATGACTATAACGTTAATGATGGTACTGAATTATTTGGTATCGAAATTTCTGCAAATGATAAAAAGGCAGTTTATGATAAATTATAAAAAAAAAAGGCAGCTTTTTGTTGTGGGATATCATTGACAATTCCACGTGGAATAATAAAGGAGTTTTAAAATATTGTAAATAGTGATATGACAGATAATGTTTAGATCTAGCAGTATCCTAATATTAGTATTAATTCAATACTACACAATCAATTATTAGATTTAAAAAAAAAAAAATATATCAATCAAACTTTTGATCCATAGATATAAATATGGTGTACTGACATAAGTACATTATATTAAATCAAGTCTATTTTTGTGTTTTACTGTTATTTTTTTTTATCTTGAATTTCTATTTCTCAAAAAATATTAGTATTAATTAATCATTGAGCAAAACAAACAAGTGATATAAAAACTAAATTATCAATTCTACATTTCTACCGAAACAGTCACAGCCAGATTCTTTGATGGGTATTAGTCGACATTGAGGCTCCTGCTGTTCAATACCATTTAACGAACCAGTGGCCAAGGGAGCCATAGGGATGTAATCACTAAAAATCAACACTCAAGGGTCCAAAGGAGTGATCCAATGGTTATATCCATCCTTTGATAACTTAGAGGTCTCTAATTTAATCCCTTCTCACATCCCTAAGAGCTGGCCTCTAAACCAATTTAAGCAATGGTAATCAACCGTTAAGCTCAAAAGCATAACCAGTACAAGCTTTGACATCCTATAACAAAAAAAAAAAAATTTGCTCACATTCTAGGCCGAACAAGTATTCAGTTCATTAAATGTACCCCCCAAAAAAAATATTAAGCTCATTGAAGAACTAATATTTTAATTAGAAGTACATGCAATTTGAAATCTCTACAAATCCAAGGTCAATGAAAAAAATTCTGAGATCATTAAGGATGTGAATGACATTCACACATGACATGACCAAGCGGTAATGGAGGAACCCCTGCTGAGTATGCACACCACTGTCAAACGCTTCCAGAGAGAGAGAAACTCTTTTCCTCTCCTGATATAATTGAAAGCCGCCAATTTTGATAATACTGAGAAATGCAAGTGTGAACAGAAAATAAAATGAGAATAAAAAAATTTGAAAGCTTGTTCAAACAGACACAGAGAGACCTTGTTCTGTCATTCCAGAGTTTAACAAAAAAATCCAATTACCACATAAAAACTGTCATTAATTAACACTAAAGAATCATAAAAAGGCATTCAAAATAGTCTTCTCTCCACTTCATGACGACCCACCATTTTCTATTTCCAACCACAAGAATGATGACTTGCTATGCTTGATGTTAGCCAAACCGCCGAGAAAGGTATGACTTGCTATGAGTTAATGGAAATGTCAAAAATCAAATGCAATGGACATGCCATTAGCCGCCATTAAACTCTTTCCCTCACCTAGCTGTTACAGGGCAAGAAGATTGATGAGAGCCACTATAGTCTATATATACACAAGATTTACGAGGCAGAGCTGATCTTGACATGCTATACTTGCCATATATATACAATACTCTAACCACTACACGATATGAGAGCTACAATTCATTTTGTGTGTCCTTCTGAAGCAGAAAGCCCTTAGGACTATACCCCAACACAAAGAAATTGAAATCCACTACATATGTCCCAGCCCCTGAACTTTCATTTAAAAGCGTGATAAGAACACCATTCATAACCAGAAATATATATGATGTTGAGCAATCATTTTGCCTAGTCATCGTAGGATTTAATGAGTACCAAACATCACATCTTCATTGTAGCAGTAGACACCGTTCTGAATCTGCAAGATTGAGTTTATAGCTAATAAAATTATGTTACCACAAATTCTAATACTTGACGTTTTGTAAGGTACATACTCTCACTGAAAATTCTTCTAGATGATGACTTCTCCTAGCTCAAGAAAGGAGACCCTTCAAGGGGAAAACTGTAACAATTATGAATAAGATAATTTGGAGTTGGAGAACTTGCAAAGCCAGAAACATTGACTGAATAATAGAGAACATGGCTAAGTGGATACAATTCTCAGCAATAGAAACATTGACTGAATAATAGAGAACATGTGTTCCAGTTTTTCTACTTTTCACGTCAGCCACTGACGATGATCTCAGCAATAGAAAAAATCCGCAAATGTAGATCTACTATTTTCTCAATGATATCTTATATCAAATCACTGATTTGACACCAAGTTAAAAAAGTAAAAAGATAGAATTAGGGCTAGAAAAAAAGAGGAGAGGCAAGGAAGAAACGAATAATTAGTTGTGTAGGCTAGGTTGCCCTACACTCTCTTATTTATAACTGAGTAATATTACGGTAATTACAATATTACATAAGAACTCTAATATTACACTAATTAACTTATGCCTAATATAAAAATAAGAACTCTAATAGACACTATGCTCCAACATGAATTCATATTCACTCAACAAATATTCCATAGAAAAACCACTCATGGGGTCCCCACTCAGCCCCCAGATTAGAGTTTGGTCTGGAATAGTGCTGTTTTTAAAAGGCTAAGGTAAGTTCTCCAAAATATACTTCATAAAAGATTATGAAAAAGGAAAAACAAAAGATAACAGGACAAGGTTGGAATTCCAAGGACTACAAATGACAAATGGATAGACGAACCTATTATTGCAAACCATTTCCAGCGCAGATACTTTTAGTTTATGTTGCGATTAAGCAACCCTTGAAATGATAGGTAAAGATCTTTGTTATCCGTCCCAAAAATCTCTTCTGCTTTTCTCAGAGTTTCCTGAATGCACAAAATGTGAATTATTTGTTCATTTATTCAACAAGACCACAACAGATTTAGACTGCAGCAACAAAGTGTAATTCAGGGATTGTGTCATAGAATATAATTATTTACTAAGCTGATCACCTCACGGGTTTGCTTTTGAGCATTTAATTCCTTTATGTTAGCTAGAAATGCACTGAATTGCTCATAGGATAGACGACTCCTGGATTAGATATTCATAGAGAAACTGTCAGGTAAAAGGGCCCTCAAAACTGAGGTAGTCACAGACCAATAGCTGGATATACAGGACTCACCTGGCTTGACGGAATAACTCTTTTCCATCAATTCTAGGAGTACGAGCTTAAAATTTCGAAGAACAAAAGAAAATAAATAAAAAGGTTATAATCTATATAGGAAATTTGAAAAAAGCATTAGACACTCAAAAAGAGTACATCAACCCTCAGTGGCTGCATTAGTGTAAAAACTATGCTTTTGTAAGAGGGACGAATGTGGACAAATTTTACCAAAAGATTGCAAAAGAAACAGAAGTAGTTTTTAATATCAAAGCAGATTTAAGTCAAATTGGATTTTGCAATAGATCTTCCAAACCTGGCATTGGGCGTCCACGTGGAGGAGAGCTTGCTGCTGATGACTGCTGGCTTGACGGGTACCATGAAGAAAGTGTACTCCGTCCTTCATATTGAGATTTTATTGGAGAATTGGTACCAGAGGTTTTCTGAGGAGATCCAGCAGTTGAATACCTTCTAGGGGACACACTAGTGGAATTTATTCTTGGAGTTGCTGCTGGAGTAAGCCGAGGTGTTATATAAGGGGTCATAGAAAACCTTTGCCCAGCTTGCTTTGAGGCTGTCATCAAAAAATTGACTTACTTCACATCATGAAATCAGATACGCAGGCAAATACAATACAGAACAAACCCAGGTGGTATGGCAAATACCATCATCAGTAATATTCGAACTATGACTGGAGCCACTGAAGGAATGTTGTGTCATGTAGCCATTTGACTCTTCCTCTGCAAGGAAAGACATGGGGAAGTAATACCACATTCACCACCAGATAGCAAGCAGAAGATAAATACCCAGGTAAGTTCATCTATTGCAAATACGATAAAGCAGTTAGCTAGTTACTAGGCATCATAAAATTATCAAAAAATAAAACTGAAACTTGTGTCAATCACCTTTCACAGGATAGGCTTTTGGAATTGAATGGTCATAGGTTCCAATATCCACAGTCTCAGCTTGCTGTTATGAGAGAGAGAGAGAGAGTTTTGTTGTCACAAATGATCCATATGAATTACACAGATATAATAAGATCAGGAAAACTAGCAAAAAACTTAAACCATAAGGGACACAAACAAAAAGAATTGGTAGAGCAAGGGCAATCTTACAGATGCATTATCATTGTTTAAGGACTGCATCAATTGTCTCTTGAATGTCTCCAACTGCCAAATCAACCAACATTAGTTATGCACCTATGGATACAATAGGAAATGAGAAACTAAGTTTCTAAAGACAGATCATTTTGAGAAATATAGTTTCTTTAACAAATATGAGAGCATATCAGACTCCGAGCGAACCTTTAGTCAAAGCATTTTTCAGGGTCAATTTGACAAATGGACTTCAAGATTTTTTCCATAGTTCGTCATCCAGGTTAAGAAATCTTGGCCTGCAGTGCATCTTGTGCACAATCATGCTAATTTTTGCAAACACCAATTTGAACCTTTTCAACAAATGAGGATGTATTCTATTAAGGCAATAAAACAGATAAAAGATCACTACCTCAAAAGTGTTTCATGTGAACAATGTTGAAACACACCGTAATCACAAACTCCTACACTCGAGCCATGACCACAAGATTCATGGTGACTAATCAACAGAAAAAAACATTAACAGTCTACAAAGGATTCAAGTATGTTGGTCGTCATGCTTCCTCAAACTCTTTCCCTAATTTCTCAATGTTGACGCTGGTTTAGCTTTAAATACTACTATGATCTTGATATTTACACTAACGATAAAGACAAGTTTGTATGGATCAAACATGGTAGTTAAGAAAACACAACAATCTCTATAGGCTCGCAAAGTAGCATCGTAAAGCACACAAATCATCCCTCTAATAAATCAGGTGCTAGCATATTTGGGTTCAACCATAATTTATCATGAAAAATCCGACATATCAGACTGTCAAAAGCATAATTTATGCATCGGACAAAATAAATCTTGGTCTTAAACACGCATATGTATTTAAACAACAAAAAGAAACATTAACGAAAAGAAAGGGGTGTGTCTTCTGCGGGGGTGACAGGAAGGAAAATTTGGACCATCAATGGGCACATGACAATTTTAGGAGAACATTAATGGCTGATTTGAAAGTATCACAGATGCTTGGGAGTTAATACATTCTACAACTATGTTGCAAAATTATCACTTAAATTGCAATAATATGGCTACTTTATATTAATAACAAAATGAACTCCATAAATCATTCCCGAAAACCATTCTGTTTAGATAATGCAAATCATAATTCAAGTAGATTTAGAATGGATTTCAGCCTCTTGCGCAGAAGAGCTCCCTTAACTTTGAAAAAATAGTAGCGGCAGTGGTAGAACTTGAAATAAACAGAATAAAATAAAAAATCTTCCACAAAAATACTAATAGTCCACATTCATGCTATAACTATATCTGTAAGGAAAGTCCCACCTTTGCCAAATCGCGACCTAGTTTCTTGGCCGTCATTGCCAACGAATCTCGCTCCTTGGAGAGTTTCATCTTCAATAAAAAATCAAACGATTTACAATAATCCTGTCAGTCATCAAATGTTACTCCTCCTCGAACCAATAATGATAGAAAAATTAAATTAACGAAAATCCGTACATTATCTTCATGAGTAATCTTTAAGCGCAATTCGGCCTCCTGATATGCCTGTTCGATTTGGGAAGCCTTGTCTTCGAGCTCCACAACTACGCGGTCTTTCTCGTTGAGTTTCTGTCTTAACCACCCCACCTCCGACTCGAGTTTCGACACGCGCGACGCAATCGCCATAGACGTTATCTTCCGAGCAAGATCCAGCTGATCGTACGCATCAGTAGGGATAACCGAAAGTATCTCGTCCGGTAGATGGAAGTCCGGTCCGCTCCCACAGCTATGCGACATCTCCGAATTCTAATTTTCTGAAAAAAATAAACAGCTAGCCCAATTCTCGCTACCATAAAACCCTAGTTTTGGGTACAATAGTGTATGAACACGAGATTTTTGGGCTCGGAGAATGAGCAGAGAGACCGAGAGACAGGTGGCAGAGCATAGGGACCTGGATCGAAAGTCTCTACTAGTTAATGATTTTTGAACTTAATTGCAATTTTTTTTTTTTTTGCGACTTCTTTCTTTGTCCTTTGTCTCTGTATTCGGATTCTACTTTCTAGGTAGATATGTCATATGTGTCTGGTTAAACACGTGTTTGAGCATCATTGTCTAGGTTTGAAAATTTGGGTTTCCCTCCACGTAGGGTTAATTACAATCTGTCCCCTCAAACTATATCATTTATTGTAATCAACTCCCTGTTGTGCTATAATTTCTCCCTCTAAATTTTAAGTGGATTAAATTGATTAACAACAGTGTCTAAACACTTTAAAGAATCATTATACCCTTTATCTTATACATTATTTCTCATTTTTTTTTTATTTCAATTTAATTTTATCCCCCCCAAAAAAATAAAAAATAAGAAAAACAAAATTTAAAAAATAAGAAAATAAGAAAACCTTCTCCTTTGCCTCATCATAGAGAAAAGAGGGTTTTTACCGAAAGGGAAAACAAAATAAGAGTTAACCAACCATTCGAAGTATAGGAGGATGAAATGATGCAAGGAGTAAGGGGAAATTATAAATATTTGGAATTAATTGTAAAATATTCAAACTTAAAGAAGACTATTTATTTAAATTAAAACTTGAAGGAGTAAATTATAAATTACCCAAAGTTAAGGGAAAATTTGTAATTAACCAAGGACAATTGACTTACAAAATATGGGTCAAAAAATCTATTTATATATCTTTGTAACTCGAGTTGGAGCATTTTTAATACATTCGATAGTTATGTTACTCATTCCGTCAAAAATTATTTTATTTACTTTTAATACATACAATGTAAAAAAATTTAAACTTTGAGAGTAGAAAATAATTTTTTAAAATCTTTCCACATACAAAATGTAATTCGCACACAAAATAAATTGTAATTTTTTAAGTTGTAACTTGGAATGAGAGATTGTTTGTATAATCTCAAATAAATTAGACCAAATCTCTATTGATTTATAGTAGGTTTCAGTACAATCCCCAAGTTCATATCATTAATGGATGATTTATATTCACCATGCTCAAGCGTCCAATGACCAATGGGGGCATGGGCATAATAGTGGAGTGGGGCGACACCTAAATGTTGTTCTCAAATTGTGCTTAGAAATAAGTTATAATCCTTTGAGATTTTCCTTTCTAGTGAAAACAGTTGCTTCCATTGACATAGGTATAATTTCATCGAGCCATGTAAATTCTAGCTGTTATTTTCCTTTTTATTCTATTGTTCACTGCATTGCATGTTGACCACATTTACACTAAAACGGATAATAAATAATGGCACTAGAGTACGAGATTTGTTTAATTGAGAGAGAGAGAGAGAGATACAAATTACCAAATCATGAGGGATATACCATCGCATATCTTGTGTGGGTGACAATGCTAATGAAATGATGCACCCAAAAAAACGAAAGGATGCAGAAAATGGCTGCAGCTATGGAGAACGAAATGCGACATATGCTTCATTGAGGATAGGTTTAATATCACTCTTTTGTCTACTGTCTCGACATCAATATGATAAATTCAACTGATTACAAATATTTATCCATAAGCAAGCATATAACTTTAACCTTGCTTTTCATGAACAGTAATGTTACACTGATCAAATTTTGTGAGCAAATTTGAAACTCAATGACATGACAACATATTATTTTAAGTTTTTATTGGGACCCAAATGACATGACACCAAAAAAAAAGTCAAAAACAATTGTCATGTCATTTGAACTTTGACTTTTTACGCGTCGAATACAAAGGTTTTGGTTTACTTGGCCTACATGTACAAAATTGGAACACCTAGATATTTTGCCTCCGATCCTCTTTGGTATGGGGAAGGAGATTTGGAAAAAAGGTGACTCGAGACATAAAAAAGAGGATCAGTAGTCTTAATTTTAGAATAAAAAAGGTGGGAGATAAGTCATCCCAAAGATCTCGGCTTCCAATTTCTCCGGCTACCCGCATTATTAAAGCTAAGGGTATATAGTCCAGGCAAAATGTAGGTATGAATAAGTTGATGGGTGGTTTGCTAAGTGTAGCTGTTTGAGGCATAATGTAGTTAAAGACAAACACTATAAAGTTAGTGCATATCAAATTGTATGAAAGAAACTCACAAGAAAACGATGAAAACTATTTTTCATAGATGGCGTTAAATTGATGGTGTTCGAAATCTTTCTACCCAACTATATAACAGAATAAGATGAGGCCCAGTGGGGGCTTAGTGTGTGCTTATGACTGGGAGTGTGCTAAGAGTAGTAAACATAGCAAAGACAAGAATATAAGTAGTTCACTTCAACCGAACGATTAAGGTTATATCCACTATAAGGGAGACTTTTGCTCCATTTAGGGCTATATTACTTGGAAGAGACGGTTCTTGTTATAGATGGTTGGGTTGGGAGCTTTTTATAGGGTATTTTCGATGCTACTACAGATATTCTCTCTCTATTCTATCCCTTTTTTTGATCTCTCTCTCTTTTACAGTACTATCGTCATCTATTTATACATCTTGTTATTAGAGTTTTCACAATGCTTCTTTCTTTTCTAGCTAATTTTGTGGTTCCCCCTCATTTGTCTTGCAGCTGAACTCGCTAACTTAACGTTTCAGTGCCCACCACCTCTAGAACGGAATGTATGAGGTATATCCATTATCGGTAAATATTTGTTTGTTAGATTTGTCAGGTATTGTCCCCCTATCCCCTGTTCACATGGTGCAATTGGGGTTATCTCAAATCTACTTAGTATTGAGCTCAAACTCTGGAGCATATGTTTATCGCCTAGCTTGTTGGAGCCGATCTGGGTCCGAATTTGGGCTAGATGATCCTATATTTTACATGGAGTTAGGCTATAGTCTAGCCTGGATATGGAAGATGCCATCGAGAATGGCCGCTTGAATTATCTTTGACAAGCCCAGTGGAGGCTTTGGGCTAAAAAAAAAAAAGGGAGTTAAACTTAAATCCATCATCATCAAGTACCATTTACCTTTATATGATATGAATTTGAAAATGACAAAGTTATTATCGCAACTAATAAATATGTTAACTTACTATTAATTAGAATAACCCATTTACTTAATTCTGTCCAATGGCTACTTCAAATCTGCACCGAAAGGACAATAAATGGTACCATTGCACATGGGAGTTCTTCCATTCATTTTACTTACTTTTGTCTCTATAGTAATGGAGTCTTAAAACCTTTTACAAATGGTCCATTTTGAAATTCTGGTCCATTCACTCATTGCCTCCAGAGCCAGCAGCCTTGCATGGTAGCGGAACACCTTATTAATGTAGAAAAATTTAGGGTTATTATTTTCAGTGATTAGAAGTTCGGTTCTTATAACAACATTTCACTTTATTAGATATACATAGTCTCAAGTTGATTGATTTTAAATTACGATTGTGCGTTCCTTGAGTGCATAGTTGAGACGGTTTTAACTTTCAACAAAAAGAAAGTTAAAATTGTTTTTAGGGTTGCTGATGCTCCACCAAGAGTGGATGTCTCTAGCTTTTGTACATCGAATACAAATGTTTCGATTCACTTGGCCTACATGTACAAAATTGTAACACCTAGATTTTGTCTACGATCCTCTTTGGTACGGGGAAGGAGATTTTGAAAAAAAGGTGACACTAGATATAAAAAGGATGATTGGTAACCTTAATTTTAGAACAAAAACCAAGTACACATTTTCTTCCCAATATGGATTTTGCTATGTATGGGTCTTATTAATCCAGAATTTTATTAGACTAAATAAATTTTTTTGATAAAGACTAGTAAAAATTTTAAAAAAGTACACAAAATTAGAATTATTGGATAAAAAGTATATAGCACTTAATGTTAGGTCATTAAATCCTTATTTTTAAAATTTAATTGTGTCCAAGTATGTAATTTGACTCTTTTTTTTTATTTTTCTTTGACATATTTACCCTCCCTTAAATCATACATATTTTTTTGACAGTTAAATTGATATTTGATTTTATTTTATTATATTAAAGATTTCTTAATATAATGGAAGAATTATATTATCACAAAATTTGCATATAACGTTAATTATGTATATCTTAGCTATTTTGAATTTTAAATTTTAAATTTTGTTGTCATTATCTTTATCATTAAATATATTCCTCTTGTCATTAGTATATATATATACACACACACACATAATAGTACAAAGTCACACTATGAAGCCTACTTTCTGTCACTCTTATACTGTATTGATACACTATATTAATACAATTTAAAAGATTTATGAAATTAAAGTGTATCAGTATAGTGTATCAAAACAGTGTACGAGTGATAACCAAAATTCTTTAATTTTAGTACTTTCTCAAGATAAAATAATTAAAATTCTTTAATTTTAGTTGTCAAAATTCAAAAGTTTCTAAAAATTTTAAAACATATCCTTAAAAAAATGAGAGGATTTAATATGAATTTTATTTTTTTCCAAATTTTTGGTTTTTTATTATTAGAACTCCTCTCTCTCTCTCTATCCCAATATATATATATATATATGTGTGTGTGAGATTATTTTCTAAAATCGTTTTTAAAATTTTTTTTATAATAAAAGGGTATTTAAGTCTTTCTATGTATTAAGTGGACTTTTTTATAAAATATTTTTTTATATATTTTTTGATAATTAAGTTTAATTATGTGTTCCGACTTTAAGAAGACTCAAACTATAAATAAATATGGGCCCGTCTTTTTTGGGCTCCTGGGCCCCAGGGTGTAGGTTTAATTGACTTACCCCGGCCAATCCATTTGTTAGTGGTTTGCTTTGTAAATAAACTGCAAAGTTGAGGAGAACCTAATAGCTAGTCAAACTGATTGGATTTGCAAGGAATTATAAAGGAAACATTTCAATGAGACCTCTTCTAGTTTATTATATTTTTAAAGATATTCTCTTTAATTTTTGAATCTTCAATGACACCCTTTTTAATTTAATTTAAACATCACTAACACCCCTATCATTAAACTATTATTTCTAACAAAATAAATTCATCTAAAATATCAAAAATGCCCTTACATAACCTCAAGTAATTTTTTTACATAAAATTTTATTAAAATTCGAACTGTTAAAATTTTTAAAAAAATCACAAATAACAATTTTAGTAAATAATTTGTTAGTAAATACTAATTTTTTATTTACTAATTAGTAAATTTGAAAAAAAAAATCGAGCCTATTAAATTTTTTTTTACATATTAAAATTTGAGCCAATTTGAACTCTATCCAAGTTGTTAGGGCCCATTAAAATTCTCTTTCTAGTCGATTATAATTTATATTTTTTTCTTATTAAAATTTGTGTCAATTAAAATTAGATTTATTAAATTTTAAGTCAATTAAAATTCATATATTTTTATATATTAAAATTTAGACTGATTAAAATTCAATGCGAATTAATTAAAATTTGATTTGAGTCGATTAAAAATAATTTTTAATTGGCTCAAACAAAATATTAATTAGCCCAAATTCTAATACGTAAAAAAATATATATAATTTTTAATTGGTACAAATTTTAATATGTAAAAAAATAAATTTTAATTAACTTGAATCGAATTTTAATCGATTTGAATTTAATTACGTAAAAAAAAAATAGAAAACAGAGGGGTCTCATTGAAAATATACTAATCTAGAGAGGGTCTTATTGAATATATATTTATGTAGAGGGGATGTGAATGAAATTTGTTCTCAAATATATCATAGACAATTTAGTAAAATTGCATTCTACTTAATATTTTTAATCTGATAGGGGGTGTCATTGAAGATTTAAAAATTAAAGGGGGTGTCTTTGAAGATATGATAAATTACGGGGGGTGTGATTGAAATTTTTCCAATTATAAATTATTACATGAACACAAATAATATTAAAAAATGCCAATATTATCATTCTTATTTCTGGTAAGAGATAACTAATATTATTTTATTTGCAAACAACTTGAGTTCCATACTGTGCTTAACAATTCGTTTCGAATGGCTCAGCCGCTCAACAAACATACGAAAACTGCGATACCCCACAACTATTCATTCAAATGTTACCCCCTCCCCTTTCTCTCTTTCAATTTCTACCAGAAAAAATGGAGCACTTCTCCAACCAACAAAACAAGGCCTCATCACGTTTTCTTGATTTCTGTTTGCAAATTGCGGAAGGCCATCACAATGCTTCTCAATTGAAAGCTTGCATCAAAAGAATGGTCTCGTAGAGCGTAGTTGGGGGTGGAAATTGGGAGAGAAGAGGGCATTGGGCTTACTTATAAAAGCAAGCTTAGTGCCTTGACAATAGCTATAGCTTAAATTAAGCAACTCCAATGGCTACCATTGGATACCCTGAGATATTGTTGCTCTTTCTAACCTCTCTTCTTCTTTGCTTATGGCGATGGAGTTGGTTCATGAGTTGGCTAAACACTTCAGTACCCACAAATTGGCCTCTCATTGGTATGGTGCCAGGCCTCCTTCGAAATGCTCATCGAATCCACGAATATGCAACCGAGTTTCTTCAAGAAACCAGAGGCACGTTTCTTTTTAAAGGACCTTGGTTTTCTGGTATGGAACTGTTGATCACTTGTGATCCTGCTAATGTCCACCACATCTTGAGCAGGAACTTCTCAAACTACCCAAAGGGCCCTGACTACAATCAGATATTTGAGCCCTTGGGAGATGGGATTTTGAACGTCGACGCAGAGTTATGGGAAACCCAAAGAAAAATCACCATGTCACTCATGAACCACTCCAAATTCCAAGTTTCATTAGAGAGAACTAGTTGGCAGAAGGTCGAAAAGGGGCTGATCCCAATTCTTGAACGTGCCTCGGAACTGGGAGGAGAAGTTGATATGCAAGATCTATTGGGGAGGTTCACCTATGACTGTGTCAGCATATTGGTGTTGGGCTATGACCCAGCCAGCCTTTCCACGGATTTACCACCCATTCCATCGGGTGAAGCCGAAGAGGCTATGCTATACAGGCACATTTTTCCCAAAAGCATTTGGAAGCTTCAACGATGGCTTCAAATTGGCCAAGAGAAGAAGCTGAGCAAAGTTTTTGAGACTTTCCATCATTTACTGTCCCATAGCATCTCAATGAAACGTGAGGAACAAAGCAAAAGAAGAAGAAACCAAGCAGTGCAAGACCAAGAGGAAAGTTTTGACTTAATAACAGCTTTCATGGACGCATATAAAGGAATCAGTGGAGCATCTGGTGACTCTGACAAGTTTCTGCGAGATTCATTGCTGAGTTTGTTGTTTGCTGGGAGAAGCGCCACAACTGCTGTTCTTACATGGTTCTTTTGGCTCCTTGCAACAAACCCTCTAGTTGAAACAAAGATCAGAGAAGAGATTAAAGCAAAAGTCAACGTGAAAGACGACGAGAAGTGGAGTTTACTCAAAGTAGAAGAGTTAAATAAACTCGTTTATCTCCATGGAGCTTTGTGTGAATCCTTACGATTGTTCCCACCAGTTCCTTTCCAGCACAAAGCACCGCTTATGCCAGACATTCTTCCAAGCGGCCATCGCATTAACAAAAATACCAAGACAGTCATGTGTTTCTACTCGATGGGAAGGATGGAGTCAATATGGGGCAAAGATTGGAGGGAGTTCAAGCCCGAGAGATGGATTTCGGAGAGAGGTGTGATTGAACATATGCAATCTTTTAAGTTTGTGGCATTTAATGCAGGACCGAGGAGTTGCTTAGGGAAAGAAATGTCTTTAGTTCAGATGAAAATAGCTACGGTGGCCATCCTAAATAAATACCATATTCACGTTGTAGAAAGTCACCCTATTACTCCAAGGAACTCCATTGTACTACAAATGAAACATGGTCTAAAGGTGCGGATAACGAAAAGAAGTGTTTGATGAAGAGCTCTAGTTTGGTGCTCTGCAACAAAGTTTGATCATGTTTTCATTGTATGCAACCGGACACCATAAGATAACGTAGTAAAATTAATAATATAAGTGTCAAATATTGGCATATGCTAAAAGTGTATTTCTCACCATAAGATAACCATAGTCTAGCTTAATTATACATTAGAAACGTATAGTTTTTTCGTACTCAAACCCAGCTGATTCGCTCCACCAAAAGGGTATATTTTTTTCAAGCTCGAACCCAATTGATTTGCTCCACCCGAAGGCCCTTCTCGGTTGGGAGGACACCTTGTTTGCAACTAAGATGCTTCAAGTGACATCATACCACAAGAAGAAAAAGGGCCTTCACCATAAGGGGGTCAATTTCTTTCACCAACACAAATACTATATGATCTGAACATGAAAATGACAAAGTTATTAGAACAACTAACAAATATGCTAGTTGTTGGATGTTAATTTGGCTAGTACATGCGCGCCAAAGCACATGCATGTCCAAAGCACGTGAGAAGGCACAAGGGTCATGGAATATGCGATCTGGTGAGATATACCTTGTCGATTGTAGCTAAAGCTTACCCAATTCGAGGATAATAGCTCAAACTAGCTCCAGTTATTGAAGGGACTTTATAGGACGCCTCATTTGAAAAGTAGTTAAGTGATCTCCAACAGTAAAAGAAGCTGAAAGCCTATAAAAGAAAGGGGCAAGTTAGGAATCAAATAAGTAATTCCACCAACTCAATTCTAGTTAACCTCTTTCTGCCTTTGTTGACTTAATCATCAGAGAGTCGATCCCTAAAGTCCCTCCGGTCTTTGACTTCCATGCAGGAGCTTGACGGGAATCACATAGTCATCAAACAATCGACTAGGGCTGCTTTTGGGATCATCAGTTGGCGCCGTCTGTGAGAACCACTTTCACAAATTTCAGATACTATGGTAGTAACAAAGGAATCAAAGGAACCGGTGGCTGACCGGACACCTGAATGCCCTAGTGCCCACCTAGTGGGACGAAGGGTTGTTCCCCTATTGGGGAAGTTATTAGCAAAGGTGAAGAGGTTGGAGAAAGCAATAGAAGAATTGAAGAAGTAGAATCAACAAATTTTTCAACTTCTGGAGCAAGATCAATCTCAAACCAAGGAGTATGCAGGAGATAATCGGTACGATAACCGGAGCCAAAACGAGGTTGTTCAACCTCATATCAATGACCGATGGGAACGAAGGTTCCGAGAAGTAAACTAAAAGTTAGGGAACGTCATGAATACAGTAATAGCCCGGGCCCCTAAGGTCTTCGAGACTCTAGTTCAACATACTAAATCACCATTTATGTAGGACATTGTGAATTATCCCTACCAGAAATGTTTAAGATGTCAGTCATCCAGATGTTTAGACATTGGTTCAACAAGTTAAAGTTGTGCTCAATCAATACATTTGATGAGTTGGGCACTTCCATCATCTCACACTTTATTGGAGGATGGGCTCATAGAAGACCCTCAACCTACCTCCTAAATGTAAAGTAGTTCAGAGGAGTGACGTTGTAGAAATACGCTAATCGATTCACTAAGAAGTCTCTATAAATTGATAATGTGGATGACAAGGTTTCCTCGACCGCCTTTATGGGAGGATTGCAATCTTCTCAATTCCTCTTCGCTTTCTCGAAAAAGTCACCCATGTCCATGCAGAGCTTTTAGCAAGAGGCCAGTGCTACATGAATGCTAAAGATACCCTCCTTGCTTGAAGGAGCCAGGAGGATAGACAAGAAGATCGGCAAGATAACAACAGAAGGAAGGACTCATTCAATAAATAAAAAAGAGCTGGAAGTCCCAAGAAGAACCATATGGACAGGGCCAGTGCAAGGGATTGCCTAACTCCTTGCATCCCTAATGACCCAACTTAGAAGTACACTCCCCTAAACACCTCTGTAGAGCAGATCCTCTTCCAGATCTAAGACGAAAGGATCCTTCGATGGCTAGGGAAGATGAAGACACATCCCAATAAAAAATCCAAAGATAAATAATGTCGTTTTCATGGGGACCACGGTCACAACATAGAAAACTACCAGGTTCTAAAGGAACTAATCAAGGATCTAATTCAAAAAGGACACCTCATGAGGTATATAGAGCGTTGGAGACAAGAGAGGAATGACATTCAACACCGCCAAGAGGAGGTCCTACACCAGCAACCAATAGGGGAGGTTACAGTGATCTCTGGAGGCTTCGTAGGAGGAGGAGAAAGTAGCTCCGCTAGGTGAGCTCATACCCGGAAGATAAATTTTGAGCTAAATGTAAGCTAGGAAAATCCAAGGAAGAAGCCCCGAATTAATATACCAATTACTTTCTCCGAAGAAGATTTAAGTGGTGTTTAGCACCCATACAATGATCCGCTAGCGGTTACTTTCTCCGAAGAAGATAATTATGCCGTGAAAAGCTTTCTTATAGATAGCTTGAGGTCGACATGTGTCATTTTTGCTCCAGCCATTAATACGTTGAACATCAGCAGAGAGAGACTAGCTCCAGTAGTTGCGCCACTCATTGGATTCTCATGGGAGAAGACTCATCCCATTGGATCCATTGTTGTACTAGTCACAGTTGGGTTTGCTCTACAACAGTCTACACCAATGAAAAATTTATTGGTGCTAGACCATCCTTCGAGGTACAATGTCATCTTGGGTCACCCAAGCCTCAATGATATGAAGGTTGTCACATCCACGTACCACCTCCTCATGCAATTTTCAATCAAGGAAGGAGTTGGAGAGGGTGCAGGGGGACTAGGTTGTAGCTAGGGAGTGTTATATGTCTTCCATGAAGGGAAAACAGTAGGAAAGTATGCTCCCTATATCATAAAGAGGATCCAGAACGCCTACAGCCTGCAGAAGACTTGGAACCTGTTCATTTCGAAGACTCCTCCGAGAAGGTCACCTTCATTAAAAAAATGCTTGAAGAAAACCTGAGGGCTTTGTTGATAGAGTTCCTCAACTCTAATAGGGACGTTTTCGCTTAGAGACAATCTGATATTAGTGGGATTGACCCCATAGTAATTGTTCACAAGCTGAATGTTGATCAAAACTACAAAATGATTCGGCAAAAGTGGCAAAGCTTCGCCACCGAGCTTAATCAGGCAATAAAGGAGGAAGTCGCAAAGCTCTTGGATGCAAAATTTGTCAGAGAAGTCTAGTACCCATTATGGCTTGCAAGGTATCGGTAAAAAAGACAAGAGGAATTGCTTAGCTCTATGACATCATTAACACCAAGGCGACGTCATAAAGTACCCTTGGCTACCTTAACACGAGCAACACATGATATCCAATTAGGAGTAGTGGCTTTTCATGCACGAACAATGTTACTACTGAGCCAAATTGTCCATTGGAGGCTCATGGAAGTTGAAAGGCAATCACATATAAGAGTTAGGGTAAATGCACCAAAACTCGTCTGGAGGCATTTCTTTGAAAGCTCGCCCAAGGGTTGTCTCTGGTGAAAAAGAATCAAAGAGCGGGTTAAAAGTACAAAAAGTGTATTGAGTAACTTACACTCGTAAAAGAGCTGCTACAAAAGCAACAGCACGAGAAGCCTTCATTAAGGAAAGAAGAAGAAGATGATGATGAGAAAGTCAGAATAATGACAAAGCAACAAGTTTGAGAATAGATAATATAGGCACAGTGAACGAGCCAAAACAATGATTAAAAGATATGGATGGATTGCATACCAGCTATTTTTTATAGATCTAAAAAGACGAAGAATAGACAAAAAAACTACATGTGAAATTTTTGATGTAATCTTTGAGCTTCATAGCTATTAGTGGTATGACAGCTAAGCAGGGCAAGTGCAGTGACAAAAATTCAAATTCAAATAGCCAAAACGACGCCCCAAATATGGAGTATTAAGTCGCATTGTTTGGGTGGGGGGGGGGGCAATATGTACACCCAAAATATCAAGATCAAAGGGTGGTACTTGGAAGAGATCCAAAAGTTATAAAGGCATCTGAGAGAGTCCACGATTGACAGAATGGGTAGAAGGGTAGGACTATTAGAATCCCAAAAAATAAGAAAACGTGGTATCATGAGCCGCCAATTTGAGATAATTTAGCGTACATCCATGTATCTCAAGCGACAAGACCATGATCATAGTAATGGTCGGAAAAGATGGGTCGACGGTCGAAGGTCATCTCTATAAATAGCATAAGCTAGTCCACTGAAAAAGGATCCCAAGATCAAACACACAAACTCTTCACAGAGCCAGCCTACCTTATACTTATTTCTCGCTTTCTAGAAATTTTACTTTTCCTGTAATCATCACTCCGGTGGTTTTTTTATCACTTTAATTTAATATAAAGTTTAGTACTTGTTTCGTCTTCCAGATTTAAATTTAGTTTACTTGTTACTTTTCATTGTTGTTGTTCTCTTTACGGTGTAGTCCATTGTGCTTTTATTTAAAAAATTATTTATACTCCTTGAATCATAAGGCATAGAAAAGTACTCAGAGGTAATCTTACATGTCGATACAATCGCCTAAACAGCCATGATTTTAGAACCTCGCGCTGATTCAAGTAGGTAAGGTTGTACATGTTTGAATTTTAAGTGCAATCAAACTTTGACACGTCCGCAATCTGAAAACACACCAAACACATACATTATAAAATGTTCATTGACTTCTCAAATTCATTGTCTAGTACAAAGGATATAATATTAGGATTTTAATTATGATGATTCATTGGAGGAAGATATGAAGTCAAATAATAAATAGATTCCTTGATAAAAGGAATTCAGGATACTATATAAAGGGCTCCAAATCTCTCTTTCCACTCATCACTTTGAATAAAATGCTTAGGCATACAATCAATTAGCAAAGCATAAGGTTGAGTAAGGAGAGAAAAGACAAGGACATACATTTAAATTATTCTAGCACATCATCACATAGAAGACTTTTAGCATAGAAGGCTAGATGCTACACCAAACAAGATGTTAGTCAAGGAATCGAGATCAAGAAAATAAGCCAGATCGTGAAAGGAATCCTCATCAAAATACAAGACATGACTCAATGTAAGTCTTGCATGAATTTTAAAATTTATCTAATAGTTTTATTATGGCATGACCCAAGATCCTAGTCCAATTATATTTGATCTTCTTGGACTAAACTTCCTAACAAATAATTAAATAACAAAGTTTTTTTTTTAACTTTTGCTTTCCCCGTCAAGCGTGTACAAGTGTAGTGCTGACCATATATTTCTCTTCTTTTTTTTTTTTTTGGTTAATGAGAAACCACTTCAAAGGAGAATCACTTTTGGATCCATCCTTGCGAAAATAAATCCTAAATAGCTGCAATCACTTGCAAACTATATGTATTTTTTGCTCGACTTTCGTGTTCTCTTGTTTTTTAGGGTAGGGTTTTGAGACGGGTAGTGTAGTAAAACATAAGAAATAATAGAGAAAATTAATTGTAGTATGTGTTTATTGCACTTCCACATTCTGCGATTTAAGAAAGTTATACAAAATGACATAGTGAGGTGTTTTGATGCGGGTACAACATGAGGTGGAATTAGCCAATTAATTCCATTTCAATCCGTACCGGATTGTATTACCATTTTTTCTTATCACAACTATACTGTATTTTGTTTTGTCTGAGGTTTAGACAATGTATAAATCCTTTATCTTATGATGAGTTAGTGAGTTTGTATCTAATTTGGGGTGTTAGATGCAACTGATTTAAACAAATATAAAAATCAGGCCATGTAAATTGATCCAAGCTGTGTATTACGTCAGTAGCAGACCAGTGCCACCACTTTATACCTTAACCAAACCCCCCTAATCAACTTGAAGGTGTTCTTTTTATTGCATTATGTCATTTATTGAAAACTTCATATTGCCTGTTGGTGCTTTTGAATGTAATCGCGTTGTGAGCGCTTCGTGGATTCATTGTTCCTGTGTCGTTCAGCTTAATCGTTCCCACGGGAGTTGGTTTTGAAAGGTAGCAATTGCCAAAAATGGGGCTAAGGTAGGAAGGCCCATTCATTACTGGACTTCGTGGGGGTTCTTACTCCATTTGTTTCAAAATGGATCAGCCGTTCAACAAACATACAAAACCGCCATACGCCACAACTATTCATGCAAATGGCACCCCCCTGAATTTCTACCAGAAAAAATGGAACACTTCTCCAACCAACAAAACAAGGCCTCATCACGTTTTTTTTTATTTCTGTTGACAAATTGCAGAACGCCATCACAATGCTTCTCAACTGATCGCTTGCATCAAAAGAATGGTCCCGTTCCAGTATATATATTTCAGCCCTCATGGAACTCATAGAGCATAGTTGCCCTCTTGTAGAAAGAGCACTGGATCAAAATAACTCGTACAGTTCCCATGACTATCCTTGGATACACTCAGATTTTGTTGGTAGTTCTGCTCTTACTTTTTCAATGGTACAAGAGATCGAAAGGGAGAGGGCAGAAAAGCTCAGTGCCCACAAATTGGCCAGTAGTCGGAATGACGCCAGGGATTCTTCTCAATGCTCACCGGCTTCATGAGTATATGACTGAGTTTTTAGAACAAAGTGCATGCACATTTGAGTTTAAAGGTGCCTGGTTTACGAAAATGGACATGCTGATCACAAGTGATCCTTCTAATGTCCACTATATATTGAGCAAACATTTCTCAAACTTCCCAAAAGGTCCCGATTTCAAGAAGATATTTGATGTTTTGGGAGATGGAATATTCAATGCGGAATCAGAATCATGGGAAACCCAAAGGAAAACCATCATGTCACTGCTTAACCACCACACTTTCCCAAAGCTCGTTGCAACAACTACCTTAAACAAGGTGGAAAGAGGGATGATCCCAGTTCTTGAACATTTCTCACAACTAGGAACAGATGTGGATTTGCAAGAGCTATTTGAACGGTTCACCTTCGATAGTACATGCTTGATAGTTTTAGGTCACGATCCTGCTTCCCTTACCATAGACTTCCCGCATGCTCCATATGAAAAGGCTTTCAGTGATATAGAGGAAGCAATATTATACAGGCACATATTACCAGAAAGCTATTGGAAGCTTCAAAGGTGGCTTCAAATTGGCAAAGAAAAGAAGCTCAGTAAAGCTCAAGAGACCCTTGATCACTTCTTAGACCAGTGTATCTCACTAAAGCGTAGACAATTCAGAACAAAGGCGCCATTAAATTTGGTGGAAGATTCAACGGAGGGTTCTGACTTATTAACAGCTTACATGAAAGCAGGGGAAGAAAACATTGGTGTATCAGCTAATCCTCCAAATATTCTGAGAGACATCTTATTAAATTTATTGGTTGCTGGAAGAGACACAATAAGTACAGCTCTGACTTGGTTCTTTTGGCTCCTTGCAACAAACCCTTTAGAAGAAAAAAAGATCCGAGAAGAGATCATAACCAGCATGCATACGAAAGAAGACAGAAGGTGGAATTTTTCAAACGTAGGAGAGCTAAAGAAACTGAAATATCTTCATGGAGCTTTGTGTGAATCTTTAAGGCTATTCCCACCAGTTGCTTTGCAGCACAAAGCTGCGTTGAAGACAGATATCCTTCCAAGCGGCCATTGTATCAGTACAAACAAAAAAACGGTTTTGTCTTTCTACTCCATGGGTAGGACAGAGAAAATATGGGGCAAAGATTGCTTAGTGTTCAAGCCGGGGAGGTGGATTTCAGACAGAGGAGAAATCAAACACGAACCATCTTTCAGGTTCGTGGCATTCAATGCAGGACCAAGGAGTTGTATAGGTAAGGAGATGTCTTTCATCCAAATGAAGATAGTTGCAGCCACTATGATATACCGATATCACATCCAATTGGTAGAAGGTCATCCCATTTCTCCAAGTGACTCTGTTATACTTCACATGAAGCATGGTTTGAAGGTCAGGGTTACCAAAAGATGCGACTGATGCAAGATCCAAGTGCATGTACAATAGGAAAACTAATGCTTCTTGAAAATAAATTGTCAGAAAAATATGTTATTGTTCCATCTCTGTTTCTTGGAAATAAGTATTATAGTTCCCTTTTTAATTGTTTTATGCAAAACTATTTGTGTATGTGCATAAACCATTGTTGCATAATTAAAATGATTGGAAAATAGTGTTTTTCATATTATCTTAAAGAATAAATTTCCTAAATGTGTATCATAGTTTCAGCTAAGCCTTTAAACTAAAATTTATCTCTATTGAGCCCTCTAACTTCTTAATACAATTTAAGGTGCATCTCCCATCCAATTTCACCAAATTTTTAATCAAAGTGGCACACATACGACTTATCTGAGTGATCCATTGGGTGTTTTAGACATTATCATGAAAAAAATCCAAAATATTAAATTCCTCTGATTTAACGACCCAGACAATAACCCTAATAAACTAAAAACCCGCCACTCACGTAAAAACAATCTCAGGAGCAATTATTCACAGTACCTGAGTATTTCTTTGTCAAAAAAAACAACCCCTTATTACTGAATAATCAATCTGTAGCTAACTTTCACTTTCCCACAAGACCGACCAACAAGATTATGTTTGTTAAAGAATACATACAAACTTGACGTGGGCTAGACATTACAAATAAACGTAAATGAGCTCCAATCAATCCCTTAATCAAAATACCGCAAGCAGAAGTATATTTTTTTATGAAAATCCAGTTAATAAGACTATAATTTTGCATCTTTTGTTGATATAATTGGGGAATTATCCAAAACAATCAGATAATGAATAGGAGAACATAAAGAAAATGATCATATATGATGGTATAACTATGAAAAAACGATTGGTTCGGCAAATAAGAGATAGGTATTGTGAATAGAAGTAATTGTACCTGAAACAGAGGCGTCGTCTCGGGTTTGACCTGTGTCATAATGGGGAATTTCACGTCAAAATAATTAACTGACTCTTGTTGGGCTCCAATTCAATGGCTCTCGGAAGAAGGATTTTTATGATGCACAGTGATGCTATTGCTCTCCAGTTCTCTAAGGCAGAGTGTGACACTTGTGTGCTGAAATTTTAGGGTTACAAGAGTGTGACACTTGATGACGGCGACGGTGATGGTGGTGGTGACGACGATGGTGGTGGCAGCGGCTATAATGGTGGTGACAACGACGGCAGCAGTGACGGTGGTAGGCGTGGCAATGGTGGTGGCGACAATGACGACGACGGTGGTGGTGGCGGTAGTAAAGGCGGTGTTGGTGGCAACGATTGCAATGATGGTGGTGGTTGTGGTTTGTGGTAGAGGTAATTGTAGGGCGGTTTCAAACACTATTTTTTTTTAAAAATATTTATAAGAAATAATATTTAAAAATATTTTTAAAAAGTTACTCCAAATACACCCTTAAAGCCCTATTTTTTCTATTAAATTTAACGTATTAATAGTAGCCGTTAGATTAATTTTAAAGTTAAAGTTAAAACAATCTCAATCGCAAATAGTAAAAATCATTTTCTTTATCTTTTGAAATTGAAATTGTAAACTACTTTATTATATAGATGTCTTATTTTATATTATAAATTATAAATTAGTGGAATTAGTGATATAGGTTAGAGATCATCAAAACAATCGATAATATAAAATAAGGCATGTTTTAATAAATTCATCTGATGATCTCAAATAGACTTCTCTAACGGCCACCATCTCTCTCAAAACCATTCACTTTAAATTTCCCTCAAATATATCACTTCTCACTTACGTTGTATTGTTCCTTCAGGCACGAATTACCCCAAATAATCTTTATATTAAAACATTACCAACTATCTTACAAATGAAAGGATTACAAAACTATAAGCAACAAAAAAAAAAGGATTACAAAACTTTTTTTTTAATTAAGAAAATCATATTTAACCTTTAAAGTTTAATTAGAAAATAATTTACATTTGATTTGTTGAAAGATTATAGAATTTGGGAATGAAATGACATTACTGAGTAATATACATTCAATATTAGATTTATAAAAAAAAAAAAAAATTATCTCACAATCAACACTATTCCGTTAAAGAATACCTAGTAATAAACCCAAAACATTAATATTAAAAGGTTCAATTTTCTTTGGCTTTCTTGCTCACTGTCACATCATCAATATTGCTACCCCCACCAATTCCTCGTTATTGCCTCACTATCACCACCATTTCACAACCTTCACTAGCGGCGGTGGTTAAGGTGATGGTGTTGACGGAGTGATTGTGGCAATAGGGTGGTGGAAGTGGGGGATTGAGTGTTATAAATTTTTCAAATTTTGAATAGGATTGTCCATTCTATTCCATCAACTAATGCAAGTTGTTGTCATATAAGAAAATAGAGATTTGACTCAAATATTTAATCTAAGGAGTCAATGTTTTGACTGAATAATGAGTCTAAAGAAATATATTCTCATATTTTGTCTGGATGTGTATAGTGGGTTTATCACTAACATTTGAAAAGTGTATTACGTTATTCAAAAAAAAAAAAAAAAATTCATCACCATACTGTTATTAACTCCTTTGGTGAGTATTTTTATGGATATTTTTATTACTGTTATGATATTTGTGATCAGTCTCAAACCACAACGATGATAAAACCACCCACAAAATTATAAAATTTAGAGGTTTCGATATTGTAATCTTCTCATGCTTACTAAAATAAGTCAAACACATGAGTATGTACACTTTGGAACTTCAATGCCAGTTGGTTGTATGATTTGCTTGCACATAATTTGAAATTGAACAGATTTTCATTAGCTTCGTATATATAGCAGCAATAGACTTTGATTAAGTTGAACAAGTGTTCACACCTAGAGGCTGGGTCCTGGCTTGTTCAAGTTAACCACAGGAATGTAATTGTTGGACATCTTTGAAAATTGCCATCTATTTCTTGCAGTCATTTCTTTCTTGGCAAAGGTGAAGAAGTTTAATTTCGATTGAAGAACAACGTTGACTAACAGCCTTTATATACTAGTTCAATATGAATTATTAAATTAGTTAGTTCTGTTGAATTCATAAAGAATTTACAAGTTAAAATCATATCACATTAGGTGGTGTAAAAAAGATGGTATACATATTATTATTATTATAAAATAAAATTTTCTTCTTCTTCTTCTTCATTTGCATTCTTAGAGATTGCAAACGTTAAAAGTGAAAGAAATAAAAGAGAGGAGTGGATGAGAGACAATTGATTGCGATTTTTCATTGCAAAGGCTAAGTTGACACAAGTTTAATAAATTTCAAAGTGTTTGACGCAAGAGACCCCCCCACCACTTGGCAAGTTGCACGAGGAGCTTAGTCGTCCAGTCACTGCTGTATTGTTGAAGGGAACATGCGCTTGTCACTCCAACAACACACACCCAAAAGGACAACATGGACCCCCCCTCTCTCTCGTTTTTTTAGGCCATTCCTTTCCACCAATTTTGAAATTATGCCCAAATCATGCCCCTTAGAATTTTGTCAAACTGATATTATGATGCCTCAACATCATCTACCATGAATACATTAGCAAGTTTTATACATAAAACGAATAAAAAAAATAATAATAAAATTGACTTCTTGTTAAGAATTAGATTACAATTGACTTTGATGTGTTTTTATGATTTGAAAGCGTTACAAATCAATCTGATCAATAAATAATTTATATATGTATATATATATATAAAATTGTGGTTACAATCTTCTATTTATTTATGACCATATAGTTTACTACATAAACACATTATTTTTATACAATAACAAAATAATCCTAATATGTAAAAAATTTATTCAAACATATCTGAAATGTATATAAAAGTTAAGAATAATATCAATTGCACTTAATTTTGGATTTAATTGATAGAGACCTAATAATTTATGACGATTAGATGGATAGTGAGGTTTAACCCCCTATTAAACTTAATATACAATGCATTTAAGTCTTCAAGTTGCATCTAAACAACATTGTTGAAATGGTATTCATGGTATATAACATTACTGAGATTATCAAATCATCGTCAATGCTAAAAAACACAAGTAAATTTGAACCTCAAGATGTTGACACCCACGGTCTTCACCGTGGCGTTTCCTTAGCTTAGGCCATGTACGGTTTGGGCCACCAGCATACTTTCTCCTCCTGCCAATTAACTCCTAATGACCGCGTGCATGAAACATGTCGGCGAAAATAACAAGTTGTCTATTTATTTTATTTTATATTATTATATGGGAAAATGACATGACGTACATGCCATGCCGCTCTCTTTCTCTTTGCATGTTTGTCATGCTCTTAATATTATGTATTAATGGTGGACCGTGTGATATATCTGTTTCACGTCGGTATCTTTTCTTGACAACATCAATGTCCATTTTCACTTTCAACCGGCTTCATTTGTTTAATAGTTGTTGAAAAAATGAATCTGAAAAATAAAGTGAAAGATAGAGCGGAGCGCGAATTAGATCATTTTTTTAAGATAATTCATGCTCTTTGTAAAAGAAACATAAATAGTGCCAAAAATAGCAGTGTGTTTTTCTAGGATACAACAGTCAAATCTAGTTGAATACAAACAGTCAAAAATCATAAATAACAATTTTAGTAAATAATTTGTTAGTAAATACTAATTTGTTATTTACTAATTCATAAATTTTAAAAAAAAATCGAGCCTATAATTTTTTTTTTACATATTAAAATTTGGGCCGATTTGAACTCTGCCCAAGTTGTCAGCGCCGATTAAAATCATCATTCGAGTCGATTAAAATTTATGTTTTCTTACTTATTAAAATTCGTGTCAATTAAAATTAATATATTTTTATATATTAAAATTTGGGCTGATTAAAATTCAATACGAATTAATTAAAATTTGATTTGAATCGATTAAAAATAATTTTTAATTGGCTCAAACAAAATTTTAATTAGCCCAAATTCTAATACATAAAAAAAATATAATTTTTAATTGACACAAATTTTAATATTTAAAAAAATAAATTTTAATTAACATGAATCGAATTTTAATCGGTTCAAATTTAATTACTTAAAAAAAATTAAAAAATAGAAGGGATCTCATTAAAAATACACTTATCTAGAAGGGGGTCTCATTGAAAATATGTTTATCTCGAGGGGGTGTGGATAAAGTTTGTCCTCAAATATGTCATGGGTAGTTTAATAAAATTGTATTCTACTTAATATTTTTAATCTGACAGGGGGTGTCATTGAAGATTCAAAAATTAGAGGGAGTGTCCTTGAAGATATGATAAACTAAAATTAGTGGGGTTAAAATTTTTCCAATTAAATATAAACGTCCTAAATCCGTATTTTATTACGAGCTGTACTCATGCCGCAACCGAGGATGGGTGGCCGTGGACTGCATGTTCCACAACACTCAGAAGTCCATCATCTAACTGCCAGAAAGGAATAAAAGTAGCACAAGATAAATGGTATCTGTTTGGAGGCCGTGACATATGGAAGTCCTACATTACTCTAGCCCAGCATGACCCTTTGACCATCCCGCGAACGCAGGGATTAAATCCACGACATTAAAGTGTAACAGTCTTTCACGTTAAAATTTTTAGGGTGATTTAATGATTAAGTTTAATTTTTAATTAAGGCAGAAATTTCAAGTTTAATTTTCTCTCGGTCCAACTCTTTTTAAGAGTTAATCTCTTTAGTGACATGTCATAACCTAGGTATTCAATTACTGATCTCGAAATAATAATCAACATAAATTTGAATATTCTAAAAAAAAAAAAAATCTTTAATAGTGTAGTGGAGTGGAGTGGAGCGGTGGCCATCAATTTAGTCAAACTATTTTTCACTTCACATGCTTATGATTTTATTTGCAATTATTAAATTTAATTTTTAATGTCAATTTTTTTAGTTACCACTACTTAAACCTCTGGCAGTTAGAAAGGAATTTATCTTTAAAAAATAATAATTTTTTGAGGACATGTTAAAAATTTTTGGAGTGTTTAGGATATCTCCAAAATCGATCTTAAAATCTTCAAATATTCTGGACAGATCCTAAACACCCAAAAAATAATAACTTCCCCCCTACAAATTATTAATTGAAAAGGTACAATATCCAAAAAAGAAACTTTCAATTCCGTGGACTTATCCTAACTATAAACATCTTTTGTGATCTGTTTTTTGCGTGAAGAAATTATGAGTGATCTTATCTGCATGGGAATCTGACCCTCCCATCAATACAAAGTTACAAACACAGAAAGATGCAATAGTTGGGATTGGAAAAAAAAAAAGAAAACGGGAAAATGTTTAAAATCATTGGAAATCTCTTTCCACAATTTCACTCTTTGAATAGAATCATTTTGTTTAACTTTCTTGGGTAATTTTCAATTGTTTGTCATTGAATAAACAAGATCTTACCATATATTTTGACTCATCTTTAATTCAAGCAAACTAGAAAATTTAATTGAATGATTAAGTATAAATTACATTAGTTTCTGATCTACTCGGGGTAAAAAAAAGGAAAAATGTAAATAACTAATTATTAACACGTGACATCAATATTTAATAATAAATAATTATGTATAAGCTATTAGATTGTGTTTGATGTAATATCATATAAGACTCGCTGTATTTACCTATTAATTAATTATAAAATGGTGATACCAACAATGACACTTACATTAGCAATCATGCTTTTCTGCATTCCTCCCCCCCCCCCCCCCCCCTTTTCTTTTTCCCCTCAAAAGTTTTATTATAGAATAATGATCCGTACATCATCTTTGTGTATCACGTTATGTGTATCGTTTGATGTAATATAATCTCAATCATTAAATTTTTGATGAATTCAATATAATTCATTAATCTAATAATTTATATTAAAATGATTCATAAAAGTCGTGTGTAGCATTGTTATTTGTTATATTGTGGACACGAAAATCTCTAATCTTTTTCCTGAATTAAATTCAAAAAACGGTTGTTTTTATATTTAATTATTATAAGTATATTTAATCACCAAAAGGAAAATAATATTGTAGAACAAAACAATAATTGTACCTGCAAGTACGCCAGCTCCTGTACCTCTCAACTATCTCCAATCACCTTTCTTTGTGTGTGTACACCCACCTTTCCTTTGCTCTCTCTCTCTCTCCCCCTCTATATTTATGTCCCCACCACCACCAACTTTCTCGCCACACACTCTTCCCTTCTCTTTCTCTCTATCTACAACTTCATCTCTAGAGAGTTGCTAGAGACTCAACCCAATCCCAGCGATGAAGAAGCTGATTCGAAGGCTCTCGCGTGTGGCAGACTCGTCTCAGTACTGCCTCCTTCGATCCGAGTCAGGATCATCGTCAGTCATATATCAGCGCCGCTCCGATTCGTTCCGCGTCTCCACTACCTCGAGTTCTCGCCGTTCCGGCGGCGTACCAGAGGGACACCTACCGGTTTACGTCGGCGACGAAATGGAAAGGTTCGTGGTGAGCGCTGAGCTCCTGAACCAACCGATCTTCAGAGAGTTGCTGAACAAATCCGCTCAAGAGTACGGTTACGAGCAAAAAGGCGTGCTTCGTATCCCATGCCATGTCTCCGTTTTCGAGCGAGTGCTTGAAGCGTTACGAGTCGGAGGTGATGAGTCAGGTGACCTGCAGGATATTCTGAATTCGTTGTCTGATCATGATTTTCTCTAGCCTTTTTTGAGTCGAAATTCCTTTTATTTTTCTCTCCCAATTTTAATGGTGAGATTAGATCATGAGGAATATAGATCTTGATCTTAAATTAAGATCTCCTTTTGCCTTTTTTTGTTTGCATGTGTATATATTTTACAAAGATCATAGTGTGTGTGTGTGTGAGAGAGAGAGAGAGTTCCGGTGATACTTTGAGGCGGGTCTTGCCAGAATTTGAAGTATTGGGTTATATATTATTGTCATTGAGTGCTTGAATATGAGGGTATTTTCGTCCGTATAATAATAGTACTTATGAATGGTATTGGTGATGGTGGAGGTTGCTAAGCAGCCCAACCATTTCGATTGTAGTAATTGTGATTGCAATTATTTCTAAAATGAAAATATAACACAACTTAGATGAAATAATGACCTAAAATTATACAATTTTTTTGTAACAGGAAATATAACCAGTTCTCCCAACTAGGCATGTCAATAGAGTCGGATATGGATTAATATTTTCTATAAATAATTCAAATTTGATATATTATATTTTACAGATTCGAATTTAGATATACTCATTTCTGATTCGATTATGATCCAATCCGAATTATTTATATATTTTTATATGATTATTTTAAAAAATTAAGTATAATTTATTAAAATTTAGTTAATTAAGTTATTCAGATCGGATCGGATTATTGGGTTATAAACGAATTCAAATATGGACCTCGAAAATAAAATATGTCGAATTGTCAAATTATCAAATGAAACTTTTAAAATTAAATTCAGATCAATTTAAATCTAATTCAAACTCCATCAAGCCTACTCCCAACAGTAGGATGAATTTTGGCTGATAGGGAATACAACTTTCTTGATTATTTTAATTTTTTTTTTTTGGGGGAGGGGGGATAGGTTCAGTAAAGCTCATATGGCATATTTGGATGAAGTTTAGAGTGGAATTTGAATTGATTTCTTTAAATCCAAACTCCTCTTTACATAAATAAATTCAAACTCCTCTTTGCATCGATAAGATTCAACATTCAATCCAATTCGTATTCATATTTGGTATGTAACATATACATATGTAAGACTTACGAATATATGATAATTATTAAATAATTATTTTATCTTTGATGAATCTAATTCATACCAATAAAAATGAAAAAGAAAAGCAAAAACTCTGGCCCAATGATAAAAATAGCATTGCTTTTTCTCATATATACTTGTAGTGAGTGATACCACTTATTGTGAGGGCCGATAATCGAACACGCTCGAAAGAGCATGTTAAGTTCATTTTTTTTAAACGAATTTAAAAAATTATTTAAATTTGGTTCATTTAAAAAATGAGTCAAACTTGAATGAATCTAAAACAAGTCAAATCCAAACAAGTCGAACTTATTGAACTTATTTTTTAAACGAGTTTAAAAAATTATTCAAGTTTAACACGTTTAAAAAACGATACGAGCTTGAACAAGTCCAAAACAAATTGAACCTGAGTTAAGTTCGAATAACTCGGTTCAATTATCAATCCTACTTCTATTAGAAGTAAGTTAAAAGATTTTGTAAATACGTATTTGCTAAATTGGTGAATAAATATAAATGAGCTGGGCCAAAACATTTCCATGTTAGCAAACAAATGTATAAATAAAGAGATTTAAAATGTATGCAGATTAGCATAGTTTTTTGTATTTTTAACTACAGTGCATTTAGGCTTACGCTAACTATCCCTTGAGCTCTGAGCCAACTATCGTAAATCGAGTTAGTTTAAAGACATATCCTCTAAGAACAAGAATAACTGACCCTTAAAGAGTGTAAGAAGTTTCGAGCCTGAGATCCCTTGTTTATAAGAAAATAGACTTAACTACTATACCACCCCTAAAAATTAGCATAGTTCTCTGTAATTGGTAAGATGATTCGTCTAAAATACCATTTTAGTCGAACCAGCAAGAGTCATGACATTTAATCACAAAAGCGTAAGGTAGGAGTCTTTCCCACCTTAAACAATGTGGACATGCTTAATGCCTTAACATATGCCACCTAATTGGATTAGGTATGCAATAGGTGTGAAAATTGCACATACTAGGTGGACACTCTTCTTATTATAAATAATATGGTAGTTGCGTTTGTATATACTCCCTTAGTAGTTCCTCGTCTCAAAAAGCAACGTTTTTAATTATACCGAGAAAAAAAAAAAAAAGATAATTTGTTGAATCAAGTGAGGTGAATTATGGATTGATGATGTAAAATGCATGGAAAGGATATATAGGTGATTAGTAATTGATTCCATTGTTGGCAAAACTTTGGAATTTTCAAAGATGTTTTGAATTACTATAGTTAAAATATTAAATCATAATATAAATCATCGGATCTAAACGATATGAAATATTATTGTGTTTCCTTAAGTTATGAGTTTAAGCGACTCAAGCATGAAACTTTATTTTATTATTATAGACGTAGAATATATTTTGGAATATAAGTGCTTCTGGTTTGAATGAAAATATAATAATTTGGGAGTAGTTAGGAGTAGGTTAAAGGGGGTCTGATCAAACAAGCGATCAATAGGTAGTGGGAGGGAGAATGGTGTGGTTATCTGTTGCTTCACTGCTTATTGGCTGACGACCCTACATGAGACTATTAATTACCTAACTTTCTGATCATGAAACAATACCTTGTTATCATTATCACTATCAGTAATATGGCCAAGTCACTGATTGAGGAGATAAACAGACGGAAAAAAAAAAAAAAAAAAATAAAAAATTAGAATTTCCACGTATTACACACGATAACTGAAAACGACTAGCTTATGGAATCGATATTGGGCAATGGAGTGATGGATGCGTCTTCCATGATTGATTATTGGAAAAATTTTAACCACACCTCCTCTAGTTTCTCATATCTTCAATGACACCCCTGTTAGATTAAAAATATTAAATAGAATGTAATTTTACTAATTGTCCATGAGGACAAACTTCATTCACACCTTCTCTAGATAAATATATCTTCAATGAGACCCCTTCTGTTTTCTAACTTTTTTTACATAATTAAATTCGAACTAATTAAAATTCGATTCAAGTTAATTAAAATTTATTTTTTTACATATTAAAATTTGTGTCAATTAAAAATTATATTTTTTTTTATGTATTAGAATTTGGGCCAGCCCAAATTTTAATATATAAAAATATATGAATTTTAATTGACTTAAATTTTAATTGACACGAATTTTTATAAGTAAAAATAAATAAATTTTAATCGACTCGAAAGAGAATTTTAATCGGCGCTAACAACTCGGGTAGAATTCAAATCGGCTAAAATTTTAATATGTAAAAAAAAAAAATTATAGGCTCGATTTTTTTTAAAAATTTACGAATTAGTAAATAAAAAATTAGTATTTACTAACAAATTATTTACTAAAATTTTTACTTATGATTTTTTAAAAAAATTTTAACAGATCGAATTTTAATAAAATTTTGTGTAAAAAAATTACTTTAGGTTATATAGGGGCATTTTTAGTATTTTAGATGAATTTTTTTTGTTAGAAATAGTAGTTTAATGATAGAGGTGTTAGTGATGTTTAAATTAAACTAGAAGGGGTGTCATTAAATATTCAAAAACTAGAGAGGGTGGGGTGTCCTTGAAGATATGATAAACTAGGGGGTGTTGTTGAAGTTTTTCCTTAATTATTTAACTAGGTGGGGGGTGGGTGTTGATTCATTTCTTAATTATTGCAGTAGCTAAATACGAATAAACTGATCAAATTTTGGAATTAAATTTAGAGTTTAAATGATATGACAGTTGACTTGGAGTTCTTTATTTGGTGTCATGTCATTTGGGCCCCAATAAAAACTCTAAATAGTCAGCTGCCATATCATTTAGGGTCTAAATTTAACCCTAAAATTTAGTCGATGTAACATTAGTTTAAGAATAAACTTAATGATTATTAATTGGAAAGTCAAGTTGTTGAGTTTGTTTGACTCAATAAATTGCTTAAAGGCCTGCCTCGCCCTCAATTATGATTGACCCTTTTTTTGTTTTTTGTTTTTTGTTTTTGATTACATCTAGAACTAAGAAGAAGGAAGCATAAGTAAGGATACATAAAAGTCTTACATCTCAGGATATTTAAATACACAAATAATTGCAGAAGAAAACATGTATCCTAAACCGCTAAGAGTATCAAGTACACATTATAGGATATTAATTAAATTTAGATAAACAAAGCTTCAAAATAACATAAATACGAATAAAAATTATGTGAGTTATATTCACCAAGTTTCAATGTTTTATGAGACCTACAATCAATCTAAATGTCACAGTAAATTAAGTCAACAAATTATCTCAATAAATTAGAACTCACAGTACTTAATAGTACCAAGTGGTATCCGTAACCAAAGAGGTTATGAGGCAAATAAGTCGTCAAACAAAAAAATCTAACAATTTGGTAGGTGACGGTTATAGGTGGTAATGAACAATATTTTATTAGTGTGGTAACTTGCTGAAAAATTTATCCATAAAATACAAAGAAAGATTTGGTTGAGTGGCTATTTTAGGAGTAAATATTCAATGTAATATCAGCATTGTCACGTGATATTGACAATCAATAATAAAACATCAAATGAGTACGGTGAACCCTACTTATGTAGTCATTCGTTTATATGGAGGGATAGTTATTATTTTATGTAAGGTCATTTTCTTATTTATTTTTATATTATTAATTTATTATACCGGGTAATGATCTTAACGTGGGTATAACGTGCGAATTAAGAGTATTTTGTTGACGAGTAGGATGTTACCGTTGACGTTGTGAAGCCCAGGCCTGGTAAAAGTTGGGCTGTGAGTCTATTAAAATTTCAGATATATATAAGGTATTTGGCCCAATAGACATAAGCCCAATTGTAATTCCATGGCAGCCCCCATATTAGAGTTTAGGTCCAAAAACTGATGTCAACGTTGCTCTACCTAAATCCATTTTGATACGGAAGTTGCGTTGACCTTGGAGGGACTTGGGCATAAAAATACACTATTTGGTCCCGTACTTTTGTTTATCCAATCATGAGATGCCACATCAAAATTTTATTATTTTCGCTTTATTTTAATTTTCAATAATCAATGGCAAATAACTCAAACCAA